TGTGGGGCACGATCCGCGTGAAGGGTCGCGCGAACACGCCTACTGAGGCCGCAGGTGGACCTCCACCGGGCACGCCCCGTGCCAAGCATGTTCCGAAGTGGGCGCGGGGACGCCATGCAAAGATGCCCGTTCTGGAGCATGATTCGCGTGACAGGTGTGCCGACATGGGCGGGGGGGGGGCGTTGTTCGAACCTTCCGGGCCTTTAATTCGGTGGTGCTCCTTGTGGGCATGATCCACGTGACGGGGTGTACCGCCATGGCCAGGGGGGGGCGCAGTGCAAACCTTGCTTCGGGGGCCGTGGACGGAGATTCCTGTGGGCCACGATCACGATCCGTGAGCGAGGTGTGCCGAAGTAGGCGGGACGGCGGGATGCGAACCTTGTCTTCGGGGCCGTCTGTGGATGTCCTTGCGGGCCACGATCCGTGTGAGAGGTGCGCCGACTTGAGCGGGCCGATGTTATGAAGCTCCCCTCTGGTGCCGCAGATGCATTGAGTTGCGGGGCACGGTCCTCGTGAGGGGCGTGGCACTGTGCGAACCTCGTCTCGGGGGATGGAATCGCGTGGGTCTCCCTGTGGGACGAGATGCCTGTGAAGGAGGTGCCGGCATGGGCTTGGGGACCCAAGCCTGTCTGATGGGCCGCAGGTGGAGCCCCATGAGGTGCACGATCCTTGTGACAATCAATGTCCTCCGATGCCGAACACTTTAGACTACAACTGTGGCTCGCTTGAACATTTCTGGGTCTTGTCATCTCTGTTTCGATGCGTGGTTCCGATTTTTTTCTGGTGTGGTATCGGTCCGCTGTGGGCCTATGAGAGGACGCTTGGGGGCCTATGAGAGGCCGTTTGGGGGCCTATGAGAGGCCGTTTGGGGGCCTCTTGGAAATCGTTTTGGACCTCCGGGGGGCAGCTTGGGGGCTTCTTGGAGGCCTGCTGGCGGTCTCGGGGGCCCCCTTGGGGTGCAGGGCTCGAAATGTAAGTTCGAATCCTTCTTTTTGGGCCCCTTTGAATGCCCTGTCGGGGCTCTCGTGGGCCGTCTTGGGCGCCTCGTGGGCCGTCTTCGGCCTCTCCTGAGCAGCTTTGATGCCTCATTGGGGGCCTATGTGGTCGTCTTGGGGCGGCAATCTGAAGGTAGCAGTTGGGCTCTAAGACGCCCCGACATCATTCCGTGCCCATTTTGGCTCAAGCTGGTCAGGCCTTGTTCGCGACCATCGTGAACGATCGTGCGCGCAGAGAGCCGTCGCCCCAAACACCTCCCGCCATGGCGAAGGCCGCTTTCCTGCTGTTGGTTGCCGCCTCCCTCCTGAGTGTAGGCGCCTCGGCGCCGCACGGGCGCCTCGCTTGGGGGGGGGGGCAGGTCCACCGGCGGCTGTCGGAATCCATTACGGACGCATGCTTGGACGTGTGCCCAGGATTATCAGATTTCCTGGCCGCCGTTGACTCGTCTGCAGAGCCTTATATAACTCCGTCGAATTGGTCGAATTGGTATCAACCTTACAAGACGATGATTGACATCTATTGTGACTACGAGAGTGCGGTTCAGTGCTTCGTAGACGAGCTGTCCACGTGCAGCAATTCCTCAGCAGCATGGGGCATTATCCTCATGGCCCCCAAGCTGAAGTGCATCTGTGGCACGTGCCCTGGCGGCGAGACCGCGTGGGCCAAATTTTTGGCGTTAGCCAGCGGATTTCGTCCGAATGACCCGGGGATGGTGGACACAACCACTTTGGCAGATGGCACTGACACAGCCGGGGCCGACGATGGCAATTTCGACAGAGATTCATCGTGCGCCGTTTACACTGTCTTTTTCTGCGCCAACGAGTATGCGACGGACTGCGGCGCCACTCTTGACGGGTTGAACGAGGACGCCGGAGCCATTCTTCAGGAGTGGAACGTGAAGTTCTTCGAACTCGAATCGGAGTGCACGGTGGACGTGGTCGGAAGTTGTGGCCCGTTCGGCCTGGGGTGGATCGCCGCGTCGCTGGCCCCAGTGATGGCGGCGCTTGAGTTCGTGGCGGCCTGATGCTGCCCCCCCAGACCCCCTCGCGTCGTGAAGCTATCACGACGGAGTGTTCTTCTTCATTTGCTTGTTCCGTGCCGCGCTCGGCCCGATTCGGGGCGGCGTGGGAGCAGGAAGACCTCCTCCTGCGCCGCCGGCAGTGGTCCCAGGCCCTGCACCTTTCCAAGCGTGCTGCCGCTCGCGGGCGGGCAGGCGCCGCTTTTTTGCGACGCGTCGGGTCAGTTGCGAGGGCGCTGGCCTGGCACAGGATGGCGCGGGACAACAATTACTCGCTGGGTGAAGCTCCCCGTACGTGAATCTATCAGCATCGACCTGTCCGCCGTGGGTGTCTAGTCGCAAGAGTTTTCGGGTGTAAGCGGGCTCGAGTAGTGGCGGTCCGGGAGTGAATCTAACTGTGAATGGACTGGAGTGTGAATGAGTTTCAGTAGTATTAGTGCGTCTCTGCGCATGAGCCTGGGGCCCTCTGGGGCCTCTTGAAATCTCTTGGGGCCGACTGGAGCCTCTTGGGACCTCCTGGGGCCTCTTGGGTTTTCCTCTGGCCTCCTGAGGCCTCCTGTGGCCTCGCGTGGCCTCCTTGGGCCTCCTGAAGCCTCCTGGAGCCTCCTTAGGCCTGCTGGGGAGGATTCGTGCCCCAGGAGAGGCCCAATCTATAGGAACAGACGTAAAGCTCTTCGGATTGGAGCCACGGGAGAAGGGCAATACACACATATATGCATATATATATATATATATATATATATATATATATATGCATATATATGCATATATATATATATATATATATATATATATATATATATGTGTATGTATATATATTGTACACATCATTCATATCAAGTCATATCATGTATAGAACATACGCCATCACATGTATAGATAATATATATTGTCATTTCATCTCATCTCATATCATATCGTATCTTATATATATGTAACACATAGGCCGGGCCCCCTCCCAGGGCGTCCTCCACCTCGATCACATTTGGATTACGCTCCCGGCACCGCGTCCCCGGCCCCCCACATAGGCCCCAAAACGCCTCATAAGAGCCGCAGACGCCCACGAGCAGCCGCCAGAATCTAAAAAGACGATCCACGACGCTCCTAAGCAACCCAAGATAGCCTTCGGGCGGCTCTCCAGGCTCCCAGGAGGTCCCCAAGAGACCTCAAGAGAGCTCCGAGAGGCCTCCCGAGAGCGCCCGGATAACCTAATATCGTTAATTTTCACTGTTTTTTTATCGGTATTTGGCCTTCTCACCATTTCACGCCTCCGACGCTCCAAAATGGCCGAAGAGGCCCCCAAGACCGCCCCAAGACCGCCCAAGACGGCCCCAAGACGGGCCAAGAAGGCCCCAAGATTGCCGAAGAGGCGCCCAGGACAGCTTCAGACCACCCCAGAGCAGGCCCAAGATGGGCCCAAGAGCGGGAGCAGGAGGTCTCCAGAGACCTCCGACCCCCACACCCCCCAAATCCTTGAGAGGCGCCCCCAAAAAACCCGACGAGGCCCCTTAAACAGCCCAAGAGAGTTTCGAGAGCCGTCCCGAGAGAGCCTGAAGAAGGTATAATCGTTGATTTACAATGGTTGTTGTTGTTGTTGTTGAACATTATTAATTCTAAAGAATAATTATTGTTGGGGCCCCTGGTGCACGGCCCCCCTGCGCCGCCTAGGCCGCAGCTACATTTTCATCATTTTCGTGAGGAAGCCTCAGGTAATACGATGTCATCAAGATCCGGTTGTTTTGTTGTAATCCGTTTTCCCTTGCAAAAAACACTATAAAATGACATTTCTTGTTCTAATATAATCAAATTTCAAGAATCCCTTGCAAAAAATAAGGTAAAGTGGACATTCGCGCGCGCAAGACGAAATCCTTCCAAAAGCTTAGTGTTCGGAGCGATTTTAACATAAAAACATCAAAAAACCAATGTTTTTTCAACAAAAAAATGTCAAAATCTCATCCCGCGCGCTCTTGCGGATTCGTAGGAAACCCAACACTTTTTAAACATTTCTGTCAAACGGGCTTTTGCGAGCAACTTTTTCGAACTTCTGCGACAACGGTTGCGCACCTGCCAGGGCCATCATCCCTGTCAAATAATACCATGCGGGACACATTCGTTTTTTCTTCGCGCGCGCACGCCGAAATCTCCAAAAACCATTGGGCTTCTTAAGAATTTTAGCACCGCGCATCATAAAATCACACGAATCGCACCGTAGGTCCTCGAAAAACACCTGCACGAGACACCGTCGGTTAACAAGGCTTAACAACTTCTGTGGGTGTACGAACGTAGGCTTAACAACTTCTGTGGGTGTGTACTCCACGCCAGTGTAGTAGCCACGGTCGTCCGCAGGCCACGAAGTGAAGTGTCCGAACGTCATAGGGCGGGAAGCTGGGTGTGGGTGGTGGCGAAGAGTCGTGTGGATATTTGGTAGAGCTTGCACTGCCCCCCCACAAAGTGGGGGTATTGGCTGGCGTCGCATGAAAACCCTGGCACTGGTGAGAACACTGAGCGTTCGGGTAAAGTGATTGTTGTTGTTGTTGTTGTTGTTGTTGTTGTTGAACATTATTACTTCTAAAGAATAATTATTGTTGGGGCCCCTGGTGCACGACCCCCCCGCCGCGCCTAGGCCGCAGCCACATTTTCATCATTTTCGTGAGGAAGTCTCAGGCAAAACGGGTTGGTCCGGATCCGGTTGTGTTGTTACGATCGGTTTTCCCTTGCAAAAAATAAGCTAAAGTGGACATTTCTTGTTCTAACATAACCAAACTTCAAGAATCCCTTGCAAAAAATAAGGTAAAGTGGACATTCGCGCGCGCAAGACGAAATCCTTCCCAAACCTTAGTTTTCGTAGCGATTTTAACATAAAAACATCAAAAAACCAATGGTTTTTCAACAAAAAACTGTCAAAATTTCATCCCGCGCGCTCTTGCGGATTCGTAGGAAACCCAACACTTTTTAAACATTTCTGTCAAACGGGCTTTTGCGAGCAACTTTTTCGAACTTCTGCAACAACGGTTGCGCACCTGCCAGGGCCATCATCCCTGTCAAATAATACCATGCGGGACACATTCGTTTTTTCTTCGCGCGCGCACGCCGTCGTCGTCGGCCGCGGGGCCCTGAATAGTAGCCACGGTCGTCCGCATGCCACGAAGTGAAGTGTCCGAACGTCATAGGGCGGGAAGCTGGGTGTGGGTGGTGGCGAAGAGTCGTTTGGAAATTTGGTAGAGCTTGAACCGGCCCCCCCACAAAGTGGGGGTATTGCCCGCCTCCTATGAAAACCCTGGCACTGGTGAGAACGGAGTGTCCCCACGTGCTAGTAATTGTTGTTGTTGTTGTTGTTGAACATTATTTATTCTAAAGAATAATTATTGTTGGGCCCCCTGGTGCGCGCCCCCCCTGCGCCGCCTAGGCCGCAGCTACATTTTCATCATTTTCGTGAGGAAGCCTCAGGTAATTCGATGTGATCAAGATCCGGTTGTTTTGTTGTAATCCGTTTTCCCTTGCAAAAAACACTATAAAATGACATTTCTTGTTCTAATATAATCAAATTTCAAGAATCCCTTGCAAAAAATAAGGTAAAGTGGACATTCGCGCGCGCAAGACGAAATCCTTCCAAAAGCTTAGTGTTCGGAGCGATTTTAACATAAAAACATCAAAAAACCAATGGTTTTTCAACAAAAAACTGTCAAAATCTCATCCCGCGCGCTCTTGCGGATTCGTAGGAAACCCAACACTTTTTAAACATTTCTGTCAAACGGGCTTTTGCGAGCAACTTTTTCGAACTTCTGCGACAACGGTTGCGCACCTGCCAGGGCCATCATCCCTGTCAAATAATACCATGCGGGACACATTCGTTTTTTCTTCGCGCGCGCACGCCGTCGTCGTCGGCCGCGGGGCCCTGAATAGTAGCCACGGTCGTCCGCATGCCACGAAGTGAAGTGTCCGAACGTCATAGGGCGGGAAGCTGGGTGTGGGTGGTGGCGAAGAGTCGTTTGGAAATTTGGTAGAGCTTGAACCGGCCCCCCCACAAAGTGGGGGTATTGCCCGCCTCCTATGAAAACCCTGGCACTGGTGAGAACACTGAGCGTTCGGGTAAAAGTGATTGTTTGTTGTTGTTGTTGTTGTTGAACATTAATTATTCTAAAGAATAATTATTGTTGGGCCCCCTGGTGCGCGCCCCCCCGCCGCGCCTAGGCCGCAGCTACATTTTCATCATTTTCGTGAGGAAGCCTCAGGAAAACGATGTGTCCAGATCCGGTTGTTTTGTTGTAATCCGCTTTCCCTTGCAAAAAACACTATAAAATGACATTTCTTGTTCTAATATAATCAAATTTCAAGAATCCCTTGCAAAAAATAAGGTAAAGTGGACATTCGCGCGCGCAAGACGAAATCCTTCCAAAACCTTAGTTTTCGTAGCGATTTTAACATAAAAACATCAAAAAACCAATGGTTTTTCAAAAAAATTGTCAAAATTTCATCCCGCGCGCTCTTGCGGATTCGTAGGAAACCCAACACTTTTTAAACATTTCTGTCAAACGGGCTTTTGCGAGCAACTTTTTCGAACTTCTGCAACAACGGTTGCGCACCTGCCAGGGCCATCATCCCTGTCAAATAATACCATGCGGGACACATTCGTTTTTTCTTCGCGCGCGCACGCCGTCGTCGTCGGCCGCGGGGCCCTGAATAGTAGCCACGGTCGTCCGCATGCCACGAAGTGAAGTGTCCGAACGTCATAGGGCGGGAAGCTGGGTGTGGGTGGTGGCGAAGAGTCGTTTGGAAATTTGGTAGAGCTTGAACCGGCCCCCCCACAAAGTGGGGGTATTGCCCGCCTCCTATGAAAACCCTGGCACTGGTGAGAACGGAGTGTCCCCACGTGCTAGTAATTGTTGTTGTTGTTGTTGTTGTTGTTGTTGTTCGCCTCCTCACGTTTTCCCGCTTCCAACTCTCCAAGACCGAGGAATTTGAACAAAAAAGGGAATTCCAGATATTCCCTTTTTTTCAAGTTGGGACTTCTACTCCCTATCCTCTTCCTCGAGCCCCATCAAGACTCCGGGGTCACATGCAAAAATGTTTCGGGTATGCCGTTGAACTCGCTGACGCTGTCTTGGCACTCTCTCGGATTGTCCTCATGTCCTCTTGGCTGCCCCTGAAACCATTGTAGAAATCGAGATCCCGTGATCCCATGAGTTGAAAACGCGGAATTTTACAATTCCTTTGTTTCAAGTTGACCCCCTGTTTGTTTTTGCACGAAGACCTCGAGAGGCATCCCAACAGACTGTGGCCTGCATCCAGAAAGCGTCTAACCCACAGCCCAGCCACTACAACTTAAAAAAAGGGGAATCCCACGCGTCTTGAGTCTTCCGCAGCTAATGCCCGAGGGCCTTTTCTGTAGAAGCTGGAAAAAT